GCTGAAGGGCTGCAAGGCAAGGGGGCCATGAGCAGCCCCTGGGTTTTCAAGGACATCTCACAACCCTCACCACACCTCCATGTGAGGAGGCACCAGGGCCAAACCCCCAGCCTTTGCTTCCCCCAGCCATCCCTCTCCCTCTTGAGCCCTAAGTTGGATCACACTGGTCCAGGAGGACACGTTTATCTTCTCTCCCCACCCCCATCACTTGGATTTAAGAACCTGCTCACCTTTGACCCAAGCCCATCCATGTGTGTGGAGAGCAGAGACCTTCCTTTAAACATCACCAGGTCCTGGGCTGTGGCAGCATCTCTGCCCAGGAAGGAGACAGTGGACACTGTCCCCAGGGAAAGGAAGGCGAAGGCTGCATTGATGGGGGCAGAGACTGTGGAGAATCAAACAGGTTTGTGAAGGGGGTGCTCCTCCCACAGCCCTTCCTGGGGCCAGGACCCCTCCGGGTGAAGAGAAGACCTTCAGGCTCCCCCTCATCTCTGTGGCAGCCCAGCCAGCACCAATAACACTCAGGCAAGAGCTGCTGTGGGTGTTTTATCTCTCAGTGATACAGGCAATTTGTAAGTTATCAGGGAGGAAATTGCTCCTATCTCAGCAGCCCCAGAGCACTTTGGGTTTCTTTGGGTTCAGGGCTCTGAAAAATCATCCCTCACATCTAGAAGCTTTTCACCATCTTAAGTCACAACAGTGGACATTCAAATCCCTGCCAGACCAAGCCCTGCTTCAACAACACAGCTGGTATTATGGTCTGTAAATAAGCTCTGCAGCATTAACAAATCTGTACACTTGTTGGGCCAAATCTCAATCAGTTTAGTAAAGTTCAAATGGCTTTATTAAGTTAAATAGTAGGGTCCAAAGGGGTGTCTGTTTGTGCTCCACAGAAAGCTGCTATGCTTAAAGGTGGGCTATTCTCACAAGGTGCTGTTTAAGCCTTGTAAGAACTGTTTCAGGTTCCCTTTTTACTCCATTTGAACAGGGAGGAACTCCTCCCTGGTGTCAAGGCTGCCATTCATTGCCAGAGAAACACTGACCCCAAACCAGGCAGCAAATCTCACCCCCTTCCCCTCAAGGGCTGGCCTGAAAGGCAAGAGATCTGGCTGTGGTTCCCAGCTCCCAGATGGAATCACTGCAGAGCTGTGGGTAATTTCTTCCTGTACTTATACAACCCACAAGGGGTTTATTTTCAACCCAGACACTGCACATGGCAGTTTGCAGAAGCCCCAGGCATGGTTGGTGGCTATTTACTTTGGTTTTCATGAATGCTCAAGGTATCCAAGGAAAAACAAACCAGCAATCAGGCATCTAACAGCTGCATCAATGCAAAGCATCTCTGCCCTGATCCATGTCCCCGGGAAGTGCTTCCCCTCCTGGCTCCACAGCCAGGGACAAACTAGGCCCAAAGACCTGAGTGCAGGGTCCTGTGGCCCTTGTAACCCCAACTCACGTCCTCCAGCCTGGTTCTTCACTTTGTAGTAGCAGTAGAGAGACAGCATCAGTAGGTCTGCCAGCACGTAGTAAACAGCCGTGTAAACCTGTGGGGAGAAGGGCAGGTGGTCCTACCTGCAGAAGGGCTTCCAGCTGGTAGCCAGCATGATCCTTCCAGTGCCTGAAGGGGCTCCAGGAAAGCTGGGGAGGGACTTTGGACAAGGGCAGGGAGTGAGAGGACAAGGGGGAATGGATTAAAAATGGAGGAGGGGAGATTTAGGTTGGACATGAGGAGGAAATTGTTTAGTGTCAGGGTGGTGAGAGCCTGGCCCAGGTTGCTCAGGGAAGCTGTGGCTGCCCCATCCCTGGCAGTGTTGAAGGGCAGGTTGGATGGGGCTTGGAGCAGCCTGGGCTGGTGGGAGGTGTCCCTGCCCATGCAGGGGGGTTGGAACTAGATGATCTTCAAGGTTCCTCCAACCCAACCCAGCCTGGGATTCTATGAACTAGCATCCTGGGGCACAGCATTGCATCCCAGGGGAGAAGGGAGCACCCCTGGGGCAGAAGGGAACATCCCAGGGCAGTTTGGGTCTCCAGTTCCTGGTGCTGGGCTAAGCAGTGCCCATCCCTCCTTCTTGGATTTTGAGGTGTTTGAGAGCAGCTCCAGTGAGTTGGTCAGTACCTGCAGTGGCAACTGATCAGCCAAGAAGGAACCAATGAGGTTGAGGAGGTCTCCACCCAGCCATCCCAGCAGGAAATAGATGGAGAGAGCCCGGTCCATGATGCCTGTTTTGCAGGCCTGGTAAAACTGCCTGCAGAGGGAAAGTTGGGCAGAGACAAACCATCACCCCCAGCTGGTCCAGCAGTACCTGGGAACCATCCCCAGGTGTCCCTCTTGCTCCCACCTGGATCATTTTGCAGTTACCACCCGCCCAAAAGCACTTGGAGCAGAGGAAAAGAAAACTTTTGGCAAACTGCTCCCCTGTGAGAGGGGGGGAGACCCTCTGGGTGCTCTCAGCAATCTGCTGGGCTCAAGCCCTTGTGACTCATCCCTCGTGTGAGGGCCGAAAACAGCAATGATAGGGCACCAGTTGCAGAAATCCCCTCTCTGGTTACAAAATAATGTCATGATACACTGAGGCAAAATGTGTGCCCCCCCCGTCCTCCTCTGCCACTGCTGTTCCAGCACTTCCAAGAAGCCCAATACTCCTAGAAACACTTCTCCTGCACGTATGACCTGCATTCACTGCATTGCAGTTGGCTTATGTGTACAGCTGTAAGCACAATAATTAACAATATAATAACAGACAAGGCTTTTAGGGCTGGACCACCTGCTCCCTCTCCTCTTGTTCAACCCAAATTTTCCCAGCCCGGACTTGTTTTTTTTCCAGGGAATGTGAATAATTGGCTCTTGAAATTTGATTTTTTGGAGGGTTTGGTTTTTTTCTGTCCCAAGGGAGGAAGGGGCTGGGTTAAGGGTTTTGGGAGTGAGACTTACGGAAAAGAGGCAGCTGCAAAGCAGAAGATGGAAACCAGCCCCAGGATGACACTGGTGATGTCCCAGCCGTCCTGGGCACATTCGTTGAACAAATCCATCACCCAGCGGGATCCGTTGGGACAGTCAGAAACATTCCCGGCTGGGAGGCCCCTCACACCCATGGGATGCAGCGCCCGGCGGGACACGCAGCGACGGCAGAACAGAACAGTTACACTGGGGAACACAGGGTCCGCCTCAGGAAGATGCTCACAAATAAAACCCATTCCTGACGCACCTTTGCGGCCTCCACTTCGCGCCCCGGGGCTGGTGCGGCCGCACGAACCCGGCGGGACCCGGGATGGAAGGAGAAGTAAAACCCCCCCGGA